TCTCAAAAAAAAAAAAAAAAAAAAGAGAGACAGGGTATTGCTCTGTCACTTAGGCTGGAGAGCAGTGGCACCATCATAGCTCACTTCAGCCTCTATCTCTGGGGCTCAAGCGATCCTCCTACCTCAGCCTCCAGAGTAGCTGGGTCTATAAGCGCACACCACCATGCCCAGCTGATTTTTATTTTTTGTAGAGAAGGGGTCTCGCCATGTTGCTCAGGCTGGTCTCAAACTTCTGGGCTCAAGTGATCCTCCCGCCTGCATCTCCCAAAATGCTGGGATTACAGGTATGAGCCGCGATGCCAGCCACACAGGTAACATTTGATCAGAGCACTGGAGGAAGCGAACGGGGGAGTGATGGAAATATCAGAGGAAAGAGTATACTGGGGAGAGGGAGCAGCACATGCAAAGGCCCTGGGGCAGGACTGCACACGGCATGTTGCAGGAATAGCAAGATCCATGAGGGAGTTGGGGGGCAGGAGCCAAGGTCTGACAGGGAACAAGCTGGGGCCACTGACAGCGCCCTCCCTGACCCTGAATGCCTGAGAGTCATTGCAGAGCTCTGGGCAGCGGTGAGCAAGAGCTGACTGAAGTTCTAACAGGACCACTCTGCTACTATGTGAAGAATGAATTCCAGAGGTTAGAGGAGGCAGGGAGACCCACGAGGAGGCTGCTGTGCCATCCAGACAGGCAGTGCCGGTGGTGCAGTGGAGATGGAAGGAAGGGTGGATTGCTGAGATAGAGACAGAGGAGGAGTTAAGGGTCAGGAATAATCCCAAGGTTTTTGGCCTGAGCAAGTGAAGGGCAAATGGAGGAGAGAGATTTGTGACTAGCTGAGGCGGAGCTGCCCACTGGCCATCCACGTGAAGAAGTGGCACAAGCTGTTGGCTGGACAGGTCTAGGTTTTGGGAGAGAAATCCAGGCTGGTGTGGGCACCTGCTGTGTGAGTCCCCATGTCCTGCACACAGTAGGTCCTCAGTAAATGCCTGCTCATTGGGCCTGCAGGGGACACATTACAGGCCACAGCCCAGCTCCCAGCCTCCGGGAGAGGCATACAAGGGGCCTGGGCCAATCATAGAGAGCCACACCCTGAGGGGCACGTGGGGCACCACCAGCATTTCTTGGGTGGCACTGTGGAGGGGGAGCTGGGAAGACCTCTTGGGCGAGGTGGTGGAAGTCTTGGCAGATGGAGATGGGTGTTTTGGGAAAGCGAGAAAGTGGAGGAAGAAGGCCCAGCGGAGCCGAGGTTAAGTGGACGGTGCAGGAGCCCAACCCTGGTTTCAATCTGGGCTCTGGGACTGTGAGCAAGACACTTAACCTCTGAGGTCTCCATTGCTGACAGGAATGCTAACTATCCCCCTTCATGGGTTTGTGTGGGGATCAAATGAATTAATCCACGGAAACTGCGCTGAGCAACACGATGGCAGGCGCCCCATAAACGTCAACTGCCTGTTAGCGTTGCATCCAAAGCTGCCTGGGAGGATGGACAGGTCGCCGGCAGAGGGGAGCAGCACATGAGGCCTCGGGGACAGGAGCCGGGGGCCCAGAAAATGAGAGGACTTTATTCCCTTTGGGGGATTGGAGTCATGGAAAGTTCTGCAGAGAGAGGAGTAGATGTTCCTGTCAGTCCTTGATTAGCCTCCGCCTGTGCTCGGCTTGGTACACCCCCTCCCATCCTAGGCCGGGGGGTCCTAGCCAGCAACCTGCCTCCCAGGCCCAGGACACACTCATGAAGCTAATGCTTGGTGAGTCCAGGTCTTCTGAGGCCACTCATCCTCACAGCAGCCTCACGTATGAGGCCGGTCCTATTATTATTATTGTTTGACAAGTGAGGACACCAAGGCACAGTGAATGTCACACAGATCAATGTTGTCTTGCAGATAGCAGGTGACAGAGCCAGGAGTCAAGCCCAGGCTGGGGATTCAACTCCAGAGTCCACACTGGCCTCTCCCAGCTATGAGAATGGCCTCGGAGCCCTTTGAGATGCCCTCAGAGCCGGGCATGGTGTGACACATCCAGCACTGCTGTTCTCTCAACAGGCAGGGTGGGGGCCATTGTGCCCACTTCCAGGGAAAGAAGACGAAAGGTGGTGTGACTTGCCCAGGGCCCCGAAGCTTGCCTCTGGAGCAGCTGGGACCTCAGCCCAGGTCTGGGACATCCCTGTGCTGGGTGCGTGGCAGGCACGACACGTGGAATCTTGCACCCGAGCCTATTTCAGAGGTGAATAATGAGGTCCCCTCAGCCTGGAGTTATTTCTGAGGTCCTCGCTGTCTTTTGAGGAGGAAGAAAATGTATTCCCCCACCCAGGCCCCTAAGCTTCATGTCCCAGGTCCCTTTACTTCTTCTTCTTCTTCTTTTTTTTTTTTTTTCTGAGATGGAGTCTCCCTCTGTCACCCAGGCTGGAGTGCAGTGACATGATCTCACCTCACTGGAACCTCCGCCTCCCGTGTTCAAGCAATTCTCCTATCCCAGCCTTCCAAGTAGCTGGGGTTACAGGCGTGCACCACCACTCCTGGCTAATTTTTTGTATTTTTAGTAGAGATGGGGTTTTGCCGTGTCGGCCAGGCGGGGTTTGGACTCCTGACCTCAAGTGATCTGCCCTCCTTGGCCTCCCAAATTGCTGGGATTATAGGCATGAGCCACCGCACCCAGCCCCCAGGTCCCTTTACTTCTGTTCCTCTTTTGACTCTCTCCTTTCAAAGAGGTTTCTCATCCCAAGAAGTGCCTGGCCCACCAGTCCTGGTCCCGCCCTGCTGACAGCCGGTCATCCCCTGAGCCCAGCTAGGAGACTGAAAACCTTTACTGCATTCTCTTAAGGGCTTCACAGCCAGGAAAAGCAGCCAAGGGGAATATAGTGTCTGCAGACCGGTGAGGTCCAGGGTCGCTTCATAAAAATGGATTCCTGGAAAAACATAAACCAGCAATTTACCCTGTGATTTTTATTGGCCTAAAAAAATAAAAAAGCTATCTCATTTGAATAATGAAGAGAGATAAACCATTCCTAGCTCCTCTTTTATTAGTGAATAAGGACACAAACACTCAACAGAAACGGAATGCTCACACAAAGCTTCAGGTCTGATTTATTAGCCACTTTAGTTTCATAAAACTCAGCATTTCTATTAAAATAAAATGATGTCCAAAAGGTTTGCTTGTTTTTAAGAAAATTGCATTTAATACAGGGCAAGACTTTGTTATGTTTTTTTTTTTTTTTTTAAACAAAGCTCAAATTCTCCTGACTTCACGCCTGTTACTACAGCTGGAGGGAAACCGGTTTCAGAATCTATCTGATATGTCGGATTTCTTTGTGGCATCCACTTCATCGCTCAGCAGCCAGCCATGATGTCATAAGCCCATCAGATTTCCGGTAGGGGGAAAACGCTGGGGAATTGGAAAGAATGGATGTTTCTTACCCATCAGGAAGGCAGGGGAAGAGGCTGGGAGTGTTTGGGAGGAGAAGCCGCGTGGCTGGCGGGGGACAGGAGCAGGCTCAATGTTTGTGATATTAAATGTCAGGCAGAAACCTGAAAACCCCAGCTACCCAGATGTTTTCTCAATATCCAGATGTCTGGCACTGAGCAGACCGTGCTCCCGCCTCCCAGGAGGTGCTCAGCGTTTTGGGCTTTGACCTCAGGTCTCCGGTGAGTGCACAGTGCCAGGAGCTGTACATCCTCACGGCTGCCCACCCTTGGGTTTGGGATTTTTTTCTAAATCTTTACACATGGATGACAGGAGTAACTAGGTCCAGATTTTAAAAGCTGTTGAAGCAGTGATTTGAGAAGTTCAGTCTCTGGAACGCTATGTAAGCCAAAAAGGAGGGGGAAAAAAAAAAAAAAAACCCTCAGCCAACACACACACAAACATATGTGACTCTTAAGCCATAGGACTTAAAAACCCAAAACAAAACCACCAAGTCTGAGAACCAGGGCTGGAGACCGACACTGAGAAGCGCTGAGCTCTCCCCCAAGAGAATGCTTCCCCCCAAATCAGAAAACACCACACAGCTTTGTTCTTCCTGACAAAGCCCCTTGCTTCCAGGGAGCCGACAGTTGCCAACAAAAGCACAGGGTAGAACTCATTTACACGCAGACTGGGCTTCAAGGAGCCATCAAATGCAGAAATGGAAATGGCTTTGCCTGGGAGCCCTGCCTCCCTGCGACTGGTAATGGGGACCCCTGGAGCCTGGGGGAGCCCCGCAGGTCACAGATGGAGCAGGGTCCTGGCCTCCTGGTGGCCTGGCTAAGCATCTGCCCCACGGAGGCCACCACCTAGGCTTGTGACATCACAGCTAATTGCCCCTGAAAATGAGCCAGGAACTGCAGGCCCCTCAGGGCTGCAAGCCTGAGACTTCACAGGGAGCTGCGAGGAGAGGCAGCTGGGGAGGGGCCATCGCCAATTAAAACCCAGAGCTCAGATAACAAGAAGTGGTTGAGTGGGGGGACAGTATCGTCTCTGGTGGGGAGAGGGCAGGAGGAGGTGGGGGTGTGGAAGGGGCTGGGGGGCGGTATTTGTGCCTTCATCTCCTACCACAATCCCCACCCCCAGCCTTTACAGATGAGGACATTGAGGCCAGGGGTGGCTGAGTGGCCTGCCCAGGGTCACCAGGCTAATTAGCAGGACAGCCAGTACAGGGAAAAGAAAACACAGGTCTGGCACTGCACAGGTCTTCCTGAACTTATCTAATTTAATCCTCGCAGCACTCTGTGAGGGAGGGATTATCCTTAACCTCAGTTTCCAAAGAAGCCAGTGGAGGTGCAGAGAGCTTAAGTAATTTGCCCAAGGCCACACAGCTCATCATTAGCAGAACTCGGCCTGACCTTCTGTTCACCTGATTCTGAATCCTGTACTCTTTCTGCTGGGTTGGGGGAGGCAGTTGAGGTTTAACTGTGAATTGTGAATCTGATCTAAATACATATTTAAAATGCAGATCCCCACAGAACAAAAGGGAGTCAATCATTGTAAATTAATTTTTTACAGCCATTCCAGGCAGTGGGCTTGCTGGCCAGGTGGGTGGGTGGGGAGGCTGCTCTTATTCTGTCCTCGCCAGAGCCTGAATAAAGCAAGTTGACTGTCTCTCTAGCTGTGCATGGCGGCCACTCGAAGCTCCTGAAGTGGGGCAGTGGGGGGTGTGCGAGACTGAAGAAAAGCTTTGTTAGGCATCTGCAAGGGCTTCATCTGCCCCAGGAAAGGTGCCAGGCACACGGGTCCGATGGAGCCAGGGGAGGGAGGATTCACTGTGTATAGAAACCATGCAAAAGAAAAAAAAAAAAAAGAATCAGTCCCCCTGAGCCAGGTTCCTAATTTCCAAGTGAGTTTCAATGAGCTGTGGGTCAACTGAGCAGCAATTGCTGGCTCGGAGACCTGACTCTGGATCAGAGCGGTGCTGCCCAGGGCCCTGCCCACCAGGATGGGGGAGGCCGGGCAGTCACTGTGGTCCTATATCCCAGCTACTCTGGGGGCCCCGTCGGCCACCACCTTCTCCCAGAGCAGCACTTGAAGGAGACAAGTCTCCAAGAGATGGGACAGAAGAAAGAGGAGACAGGCCAGTCTGAGCTCAGGGAACAGGACTAGCGCCTGCCCTGGGCCTCCCCCGGCAGGTCCACTCTCCTTGCAGCCGGCCAGCCTTGGCACTGCAGTGGCCAGGCTGTGCCAGGCCTCTCCCTTCACAAGGCCTGCTGGTTTCTTTTACTTTGTTTCTGTGAACGGCAAATGGGGTGTGGAGCCCAGGACTTGGGCCAGGGAAGAGGAAAGAAAAGTTTCTGCCATCTGGATGCCTGACCTGGCTGAGCCGCTCCTGCTTTTCTGGGGAAATCCTACCCATCTTTTATTCGCTCTGCCTACCATCCACCCAGAAGAGATTTGGGTCCTGCCTTCATGGCACTTACAATCAATAGAGGGAGCTAAACATTGACCAATCAATGGCATAAAAGTGTCCATGGAGGGGGTGGTCCCATGCTATGAGAGTCCATCATAGTGGAATCATCAAGTCAGGGAGGTCAGGGAAGGCTTCCAGGAGGAGGTGACATTGGTGCTGGGGCCCAAAGGATGAGGAGTATTAATTGTTCTGACTCACTGTCATCCTTGCAGAGTCCCTCTCTGATATCCTCCTAAGGTCACCTCCCCTCCCCATACCCTGGTCCCCTTCTTGACTTTCTGTTGTTCATCTATGTCCCTGCCTTTGTCTGGAAGCCCTATGAGGGCAGAGGCCAGGCCTGTCTTAGTCACCACTGAATTGCGCGTGGCCGGCACTTTGTAGGTGTGCCAGACCACCTGTGGTGGTCTACACTGCCTATTTGTGACTATTTGTTGATCAAAAGAATAAACGACATGTGCAAAAGGCCCTGTAGTGGGAGAAATCCCAGGACAGGAGGATGTGGGAGTAGGAACGGGGGCAAAGGGACAGAAGGTGATGGGAGATGAAGCTGAGCCTCCCCAAGAACCTCCCTAGAAATGCGGGTATCTCCTCCAGCCAAGGGAAAACCTTCTGCCCTTGTCCTGTGGCAGATTCTGTGGTAGGCTGTCTTCCTTCTCCTAGAGGAGAGAGTGTGGCATAAATACTCTGCCCCACCCGAAGCACTCCAGGCACAGCACCCCTGGGCACAAAGCAGGTGGGCACTAGCACCCTCTGCCCAGTACTCTCTGCCACCAGCTTCCCTCCTGCGTTCATTCTCTCACCCAGTGCTGCGGGGTCACCTGGAGCCACAGAGAGGCGGTGGGATTCGCCCCCAGCAGATCCAAGGGTCTCAATCCAGGGCTTCCCTGAATCCCAGCCCCAGGTCTCACCTGCACTACCCCCATGGCTAGCACCCTTTCTCCTCACTGAGGCGGAGGTGGAAGGAGAAGAGGAGCCAGGACAAATGGGGTTTGAGTCCCCTGGTCTTATTACCAGCGTGGGACGGGTGCCAAATTGGCCTCTCCGCCCCTCAGCTTCCTCACAAGTGAGGTGGAGACTCCTCAGGCTTCCCTGGGGGAGTGAGCGCTTGGTAATTCCGTCTAAAAGACTCAGAATAAGCCCCCTCTGGTCTCGCTCTGTCGCCCCAAATCCCTCTCCCGCCTCAGCTGCAGCTTCTGCAGCTCCCGAGGAAGGGGGCACCCGAATTCCAGCCGCTGAGGCTGGAGTTTGGAGTTCGCCCAAGGAGCTTCTGCCCTGGGGGGGCGACTGAGACCCCACAGGTGGGTCCCGTCCCCGCCCCAGATGTGAGCCTCGCCCCTCGGAGGCGCGGCTCCGCCTACGCCCAGACCCGTCCTCCCAGCCAGCCCGCTCAGCGCGCTCTGGCAAACTTTCCGCGTCCAGAACCCGCCCGCGGCTACACCTGCTCGCGGTTCAACCGCAAGCGCACGTCTACACGGTCTCACCTGCCCCTGGGTTGCTGGAGGGTGCCTCGGTCACGGGTCCGCGTCTCCACAGGCTCAGCAGCTGCGAGTCCCCGGGACTGCCGACCTCAGCCTTGGGGATCCGTCTTGACCACCCCCGGATTCGGAGGCGCCCCGGCCGGACCACCTGTGCTGGTCTACACCTCCTCGGCAACCCCGGGTCACCGGAGATGCTTCGGCCCGAGGGCCCCACCTGCACCACCCATGGCTCTCGAGACCCTTCAGAGCGCGGACCCGGCCGAGATCCCGCGGAACCGCTGCGCGTGGCCGGTGCCCGCGGTCGCCCCCGGGTCCCGTCCGCGGCGAAACTGCCGGGGCTGCTTACCTGGCCCGCGCCCTCACGCTCCGGTCCGGGCTGCGCCGCCGCCACTCTCACACACTTTGCGATATCGTCGATGGCGAAAGAAAATGTTGTAAATCCTCCTGCGGCCACGTGGCTGTCCCCCCACCCCCTTCTCCCTTTCTCTGGCCCTCAGGACAAAACGGCCCCGCGGCCGGCCGCTGGCCACGGGGCTCTAGGCCGG